TGCTATAGAAATGTATTGTTGGTCATTTTGCTATAAAAATGTATTGATCGTCATTTTGCTATAAAAATGTATTGTTGGTCATTTTGCTATAAAAATTTATTGATCGTCATTTTGCTATAAAAATGTATTGTTGGTCATTTTGCTATAAAAATGTATTTGCTATAAAAATGTATTGTTGGTCATTTTATTATAAATTGTATTGTTGTTCATTTTGCTATAAAATGTATTTGTCATTTTGCTATAAAATGTATTGTTGGTCATTTTGCTATAGAAATGTATTGTTGGTCATTTTGCTATAAAAAAAAATATTGATCGTCATTTTGCTATAAAAATGTATTGTTGGTCATTTTATTATAAATTGTATTGTTGGTCATTTTGCTATAAAATGTATTGATTGTCATTTTGCTATAAATATGTATTGTTGGTCATTTTGCTATAAATATGTATTGTTGGTCATTTTAATATAAAAATGTATTGTTGGTCATTTTGCTATAAAAATGTATTGTTGATTTTTGTTTAACGGTTGACTATTTGCCTATAGTGAACAACAGCAATTAAGATGTCTTACCACTGTTCTCAAAACATTCAATCTCCTGATAAGACGCCTTGGAATACTACGAAGAACAATAACAGTTAGTGGACTTTAGAAACGTATTTTACCGGAAAATTGTTTTAATAGATTTTATAATTTTCAACCGACTGCAGAACCGGTTGTTTGGTCAATGAATACCGAATACTTCCATATAAGGAAACGATTATAATCACTATTATTATTACCGAACAACAAATGCAATCGGCCAAGTAGCTTATATAACAAGATTGACTTTCTGATAAAAAAAAAGATGAAAAATACATCTAACAAAAGAATGCGTTCTATTATGTCTTAAAACAATAAAACAAAGGCCACTTCATCGACATTTCTTTTGCTGACGCAAGAGAATTATTTGCTCGAAGGTTTCGTCTCAAGTCGTAAAGAATTGCTTCTCGAGACCACAGGGCATATCGAATGACCAAGACATTTGCTGACTCTGGTGCCTTTCTTCAAGACTTCGCTATGACCAAAAGAATATCAATATTAAGATTCGGGGTATTTCACCGAACTGGTCAACTGATTTTTAGTGAATTACGACATTTCGATCGATTACCTCTGGCATGTTTCCAAAAACATGGACAATCAACAATTGTTGGGTTAAAATAGTAATATATTCTGCTTTCCAGAATTGTAGCATTTCCAAATGAGGGCCTATATCGTCTCTCCTCGTCAGCTTATATATACACGGTTTGAACATAGGAATCAACACTGCATAGTGACTGTCAGTTTTCTACTTCACTGTGATCTCATGACCAAGTGACATTACTTCTTTAATGTGTTGTTTATATATAACTCACTAGGAGATTAAGTGAATTGAAGAGAAGACCGTCACGTCCTAGTTTATTTTGTTTAAGACGAAAACTGACGCTTATTTATGATCATGTCTTTTAGACAGCTTATTTACGCTGGTTGGGTGGTTAGAGGAAGTGTGTATGAAAACCGGCTTAGTTTACATATGGCCATGACCTCAAAGATCATTTGAATTCTTCTTTGCTTACAAAATAAACAGTAATTTTGCTATAAAATTTTTTTATGTTTCCCCAAATCAGCAGCAGCTTCCGATTGCTTGACGCTATGCGTACTGTCTGATTTTAATCTTTCCCCAAATTTAATGCATATTTCACCACTAAGTGACAGACTGAATTTTGCGTAACAAAGGATCAGATATTCAAAGGTGAATGTCTACTTTAGAGTTTCAAATGTTCATTGCAGTAAATGTAAATTCACAGTCACATTAAAGCGATGTATTTGATAATTGAAATAAATACTACACAATAAATAAAGATATTATTAATTTTGCAAGGAATAACTTTTATGAGGTAAGCAATGCGTCCATTGTTTCTTAGGAATACACAATGCTAATATATATATATATATATATATATATATATATATATATATATATATATATATATATATATATCATTTCATTGAATACGACAGACAAGGAGCTTTTATTTATGTTTTTGAGTGTTGTTTTATCATGTTTGTAATTATTATGCATTTGGTGACAATAGTATAAGTTAATAGTATTATGTTTATTTTGACTCACACTATTATTAATACTATCAATTTTGTTAGAGGTATTATTAAGTTTACTGAGATAAATTTGAATTTATTGATCAATGACGAAATTAGGAAATCCATTATTAACAAGTGTTTATTTAATGTTATGTAATTCTTTATAGAATATGGTTTTGGAAGAAGATATCATTTGTGTGCGTGAGATTAAGCTTTTTTTTCTAACAACTAACTTATAGTTGGGAGCATTCACTATTGTAATTAAGAAGACACAAGATTGTGGGTTTCCTATATAGGGAAGTAGTAAATTTATATCTGTTGGAATCAATAAAAACATCAATTTTGTTCTTAAGCTGTGTAATTTGATCAATATTTTTAGCTAAAACGAAAATGTCATCTATGTATCTTACATATTGTTGTGGTAGAATCCACCTAATTTGCATAGTGGAGTACCGACCATATAAATATGGTTGGTACCGGGAAGAGAGGGGAAGAATCAAGAGATTCACTCTCAGTCGAACTCTCTGCATTTTGCAGTGAGGGACCCGGACGAGGCTTTGCCGAGAGGCAGGGTTTCGTCCGGGGTGGTAGACAGGACTTGAACCCGTCTAGGCCATATTTTTGGCCGAGCCTACGGGCTCGGAGATACCCACTTTAAACCGGCCTTGTGCCACATTTTATCCTCGTGGGTGGATAGATAAATACAGAAATCAAGAGATTCAATCCAGAGACTCTGTCCGACTGCGACTAAGTCAACACATTCTCCAGGAACGGTCTTACCAGGAATATACAAAAGACTATATGTAAATATTGTGTACACTTTCTTGTTTCAATACATTTTGTTCTAAGTACATTTTGTGTTGCATTATTATTCCATGCATTAGTCAAGTTTCAACAAATATATAGGAGGTTTATTAGTGTCATTACGAATTTTACTTTCTAAATGTGCCATATAATAATTAGAAAAAAGGGGGCCTAAAGGAGATCCCATCGCAATACCATCTATTTGAGTATAAATATTACCTAGAGAGTCATTAAAAGGTACTTGAGTGGTACATGATAATAATATTTTTTTAAAATAGTAGATTTAATATTGATAGGTAGGAGAGAAGGGAGATTGTACACATCATGGATAATCGTTTCATGGACGGAACATTAGTAAATAAATTTAGTGTGTAGCGGTAGCCCCGAGCGGCCCCCCGTATCACACAAGGGTGAATGAGGTCACAAGAGGCCCGCTAACATTTTTGAAGACGTTAAATCTGACGGTGAAACAATATAGACGACAGAACGAGGGTATATATGATATATGCTAATTTATTCTAGAAAAGAAAATAGAAGTGGTCGGAACGATGGAGGTGCAGAAGTTCTAGTGCAGGCATTGATGGTCGAGGTTGGTGTTGGTAGTTGCCAGGATCATCGCTGTTGGTTGTTGGAGTTGATGTTGGTTGTTGCCAGGATGATCACTGTTGATCGTTGCCAGGATGATCACTGTTGGTTGTTGGCAGGATCATCGCAGTTGATTGTTGCAGTTGGATGTTGTAGTTGGTCGTTGCCGGGTTGCCAACTTGACGTGTTGGGAAGGAAAGAAGAGCTGGCGTTGTTCGGGCATGTCACAGGTCCAGTGCAGGCGTTGCGTGTTTGCCGGTCGAGTCCGATATTAGTAACCTCCTGTATTAATTACTAACATAGTGTACGGGAAAGGTTAAGGACGACGTGCGGACAGCCAGTAGGGACAGAATGCCGAGCGTCAAACAGGAGCCAGGAATAGTAGGCGAAGGAGAGAGAGAAGAAGGAAAGTTTCCAACTATCGTCAAGTTGGCAGACAAAAAAAAATGGGAACGTAACTTAATACGCAGCCCGTTGATCGACCTCCCTGGCCAACGAAGGCCAGGGCCTGCGTATCCGACCGTTTCAGTCACCGACATTGAATTTAGTGAGAAGCCACTGTCTTGTGACAAGGGAGACCAACAAGTTAAATTGGATAAGCTAACAGTAAAGTGTCTATAATAAAATAAGTCGAGGTTAGCTAAAGGGAACTATGGCCTAAAAATGTCTAGCGGTATATTACAACTAGGTTTGTAATATAACTTAACTAAAAAGGGGATTTGCTAGTCTCTACCACAGTTTAACAGTGTATAGGGAGCACAAACGAGAGGTCAAGGTCGAGATGACATGTTCCTCTGCCGGTTTAAGGATCGAAGGAGGAGGTAACTCCGACAATACCTCTCACAGATTAAAAGTTGTAAAAAAAATGACAACTTTTAATATAAAAGTAAAAGGTTCATGAAAGGTTTTGATTGTTGTCCTTGTGAACTGAAAAGAAAATGTGTCAGAAGTGTGGTTGAGATGCGTGATTCGACGAAATGTGCTTGTGTTGTCGTCAGGGTGAAATCGTGAAAATGTTTTTCGAAACAGTGAGTCGTCCGAAAAAAAAAGTTTGAAGCATGGGAAGCAAGTAATGGCTTGAAAATGTCGCGACGTGGTGTAGGAAAAATGTATGTGCGCGCTTTTAGAGTTTCAGGAATGAGCCACATGCAAAATGCTATGACCAGTAGCATATGTTGGAAGAAAGCGGAATTTGCAATATTAATAGCGACGAATGACGTGCATGCAAATCCTCAGTGATGTCGCATTGTAATGGAACAGTGAGTCGCCCAGAGAATTGTGCGTTTATTCCAGTGAAACTTGAGTGTTGCTTCCATGTCGGAATCACCAGTTGTTTGAGAATAAAGAACAGTGGGTCACCTTTAGTGGTTTGGTTCACACTTTATCTATTTCAGTCCAGAAGAGAGTGTTAGTTCTTGAAAATGGTGTTGCAGGTCTGCTGGTTGCTAAGCGTTGAATATGTCTCGTTTGAACTGTGTCGCCATATTGTCCAGCCTAGTCAGATTACGTCGGGGTCACCACTTGTTGCAGCGGGTCGAGAGGGGTGAGTGCCAATCGACCGTACAACTAAAAAGGGGGGCGCAAAGGCAAGGAGTTGGCAATAGCAAAGAAGGATGACAAACGCAGATGGTCCGTTGTTTGTTCGGGAACGGTATCCGGAAGTTGGAACTGGTCGCTGGACGTCAGTGAAGCGCTGCAGGAGTGAGCCGGAGATTGCTGGAAGCTGCAGAGGTAAGCTGGAAACTGCAGGAAGCTGCAGGTGTGAGCTGGAGACTGCTGGAATGAGCTGGAGGCTGCAAGAGTGAGCTGGCAGTGCAGGAGTGAGCTGGAGACTGCTGGAAGCTGCAAGAGTGAGCAAGATACTGCTGGTAGCTGCAGGAGTGAGCTGGTGTCTCAGAGGGCAAGCAGTAGCAGAGAGTGAAGTGAGTGGAGCCTCGAAGAGTGGTGATCGAATGACTTTCTGAAGTTAGCCCGGAAAAGGGTCCCGTCAGCTGCTGGGCTCGGTCGACTTGGCTGGGCGCGTCAAAGTCGCGATTCAGGAAGGCTCCCTGGCCGGCGGTATTTACTTGACTCCCACGAGGTCAAGATGTGACACAAGGGCGTTTTTCGTGGGATTACTTGACTCCCACGGGGTCAAGACGTGACACAAGGTCATTTTTCGTGGGAAAACCCAAGCGTTTCCGCATAGGGCCACTGGTCAAAGATTGGTCATTACATGTCCAAGCTGGTCAAAGCTTAGTCAAATTCTGGTAAACTTTGCCACGGTGACGAAGGCCGGGCTGCTCCCTGGCCGGCTAAGTCTCGGGCATCTAGATATGACGGTTCATACAAGAGACGCGGTGACGCTAAACAAGTAAATGAATATAATTAATTTCGGGCCGTATTAATTACAGTCAAAAGTGTGTTCGGTGTTTGTTGACTGTATTTAAGTTAATTTCGGTTCGAAATTAAAGGTCTTTTATTTTTGTTTAGTGGCGAAAATTGAGTTTTGTGTGTTTCTGTCAGTTCGAAAGGATGTCGTTGCTATTTTTAGCACACAAGGGTCGTGACCTTTCTCTACCGGCAGGCATATCTGGGGTTGTTTACGAAAAGGTGGGAGTGGTGATTGGACACACTGCGACAAGTGCATCCAAAGATGTGATTATTTGGTTGTTTGGTTTTACAGAATGAAGAATTTTTATAAATTCATTTGTGGAGTTAATACAATATTTACGTAGGAGGTAGGGAGTAATTAATTAGTTAAGTTTTTTTTTTTTTAATGTAATCTACAGGTGTAGGTATTTCTGAAATAATAAGTCAGAGGGGGTGATCTTTTTTATGGATTTTTACATTTCCATAAAGGTAGCAAGATTAATAGTCACCTATAAGCTTTTGAATTTTATAGGATCCTGTTTCGGCGTTGTTAGCAGTAATAAGTTTATTGAAATGGTTTTTAAGTTGAGAGACAGTATTATTGGTTAACTTTTTAAATTTATTATGATGATCGTCCAAAACAGCCTGTAATTTTGAGTGGACTTAAAAATATATGTTTAAAACGGTTGTTAAAATAACGAAAGTATTAGTTTTATCAGCTCGTCGGATAACAATATTGTTGTTATTTTTTAGTTGTGTGGCTGCTTTTATTAAACGAGTGTTTATAATTCCATTCGGATTTTTATTGTAACGGTTTTAAATAGAACCGGCTTTAAGTAATTCTTTTAAATCTGCCTGTGTAGTAATATGGTTGTCTTGTTCCAATAGAAGTATTTGTTGGTATAAAGCTTCAATTTGTGTTTGTTAAACGTTAAATTAGGTTTCTGTGTGACAGGAAAATTGGGTCCAAGATTAAGGAAATCCATTTTATTTGGAATTGGTAATCCGATAGGCCAATGAAGTTGTCGTTGATGTTTGGCAAATGTATTTTTCCTTTACATAATTTGTTTAGATTTTTTTGGATGACTTGTTTATGGGATTCATTTTCCTTTTGTGTTGCATTATATAATAAATACAATATTTCCTTGAATTTTTCAATTGTGGTAGAAGATTGTAAGATTTCTTTAATACATACAATTTCAGTGTTGAGCCTTTGTAAATCCTGTTTGGCTGTGTTTTCGTTTAATGAAGTTCCATCGAAATTTCTTGGTGTTGAGATCGTTTAATGTTACGGCATCATGAAACTTGAATTTAGTTTATTGGGGCAGCAGATATATAGTTAAATATAACAGACAATAGATGTATGGTATGACTGATCATGAGCCCTTCCAATGTTCGTACGTTTGTTTAAATTTCGGGTGAAAATAAAGACAAAAACTGTCCAAAATCTGGATATTTTTTATTAAGTTGGCCCATGACTTAAGTTTTCGGATCACATGAGGCATCTTCAGAGTAGGTATATGAACATTTTAACAAAGATATTCACCTTCGAAGATAATATTTTGTTATGTTGACATAGAAGATTGTTATGCTACGATAACGGTCGCAGAATAGCAAAACGGCTTCAGCAGTCATGCACTAACGCAACGTTCCTCGCTCTATTTGTGAAAAAAGAATGTAACTTTCAAAATGGTAATGACAGTCTGTTTGCATGGAAGATTTCCAGGCAACAACAATTCGTGCATACGAGACGCTGGAAGCTAAAATCGCACCGCAACTCATGACATCACACGACTATGCGAAAGTGAAAACGAGAAGTATTAAGTATGGGTATATATATATATATATATATATATATATATATATATATATATACACTCACACACACACACACACACACACACACACACATATGACGTATTGGATTTAAGGTTGTGTGTCTACTAATTCAAAAAATGAAGGATTTTCGGACATATGTTTTTATGGCCTTTTGTCTTGTTTTGGTGTCACGAACCCGCCCCAAAGTTTTTAAAAGTATTTTTGATTCACCCTCTCTCTCTCTCTCTCTCTCTCTCTCTCTCTCTCTCTCTATATATATATATATATATATATATATATATATATATATATATATATATAAAAGGCTTAAACACTAATATTAGTGTTTAAGCCTTTTATTATATCCTTACTCTGTCCTGGACATTGAGTTCTACCTGGATTCTATCCTCTTGGAATTTTTTTATTCAAAAAATATACATGTATGTGTATGCACCTATGTATATATATTTATATATTTGCATATGTATGTAGTTTACCACTAATATTATATATATATATATATATATATATATATATATATATATTGCAACAAATAAAATGTTTACTGATCTCTCCTTATTATTATATACATATTCAACTAATTTCCGTTGTATTACAATATCCGGTTCGCCATATCGGTACTTTCTTACACTATCATATGCATTTACCCAAATAAACAAGCTTACGCGAAGATTTAGGGCGTTTGCTCACCAAACGGGCGTTTCTGTGGGATTCCTTGTCATATTTTAAAAAAACATAATGCGTAAAGATATTTATCATCCCATGACCAAGTGTGGTTGTAGGGTCACTGAGCACATGACCAGTTTCTTCCACATATCTGCGTTGAATGCTGGAGAAGTATTCATTCATGCGTAATATGTCTCGGGCAAGTAGACCTTGTGAAACCTTTCCATTTCCGGATTAAATCACAGTTGATGTCCTCCAAATTGTCGGATCGCCTTTGGTCATGAAAGGTTGTCGTTGATTCTGTTGTGGGAATCATCCGACCTGGACGTAGACATCCATCTGGGAAACCTGCCACGAAGTAATACAGTGTCCTCACTGAAATGGCAGCATACGCAACTGCGGCAATGAGATACCGTGAAACACTCGAAAAACCGAAGGAAGCTGTTCATCTAGGAGTCTAGGTCGTTTGCGTTAGGGTATCATCCTGCTGCACAACAACGCCTCTTACCCAAATACATGGCCAATCTAATAAAGCATTTATCGAAGGATATAATTTGGACAGTTTACTGCAGCCACCACACAGTCCTGACAAGACTCCTTTAGTTGATTCGGGTCTCTCAAATGATATTTAGCCGGGAAGCTGTTCTCCACGGACGATGGTGTTGTTGCAAAGGTGCACATGTCGCTGCAGTTGCTTAACTCCACCATCTTTGAAGAGAGTATTGATGTGCTCATATCCGAATGGGACAATTGCACCAAGTTCGTGAGGGATATATTAACCGTGTCCTTTCATTGAATCATTCACCGAACAGCCAGTGCTGCTATCGAAATAAGTTGAATTTTATCAAATCTAAAAACAGTGTTTCAGGAAAATAAGATTTTCAATTCCTTCTCATCTCCTTTTCGAGTATTGATGGGGGTTAATTTTGTTTACGTTTCAAGTACGACGCGGAGTTCCGAGAAAAATAATCATAATGAAGTGAATCTGCTTTCCATAAAAAAGGAAAATAAAACCTTCTTTGATTTTACGTTCTTCATAGCTTAGTGTTTAATCACTGTGGGTTAAACGGTTTTCCTCCATAACGTGGTCGGGGCACAGGTTCGATCCCTGCCGGAGAACACATTTTCTTAAGATTTTCCCGAATGGGCGTGCCGATAGACGTAACGTTTAAAATAAAAAATGGGTCATCTATTTTAGATATGAGTGTCCGCTATAATAACGTTTGAAGTAATAAAAATGTCGGATTTCCTATTCTATTATAATTGTGCTTGTCCCGCCCTTCATTAGTTAGCACGATCTTTACGCCCTGCCAATACCTCATAAATAATGGACTATTCCGCATTTTGATGCGTAGAAAGAAAGGAAAAAACATTACTTTCAGTGAAAAAATGGAAGAAAGAAGGAAGAGTAGAGAGAAAAAGAGAGAGAGAATCAGACAAGAACATATACTACACTATGATATCAGCAAGAAGATTGGTGCGCATTATCGAACAACGAAACCGAGTAAGGCAATCGACAAAAAAAAAAGAATCCAATTACTATAAATAAACTACCATTGCTGAATTATTTTAAAATTATTATTAAGACAAATGTTCGTGTGACCGGGATTTAGCTAGGAAGAAATAAGGTTGGATAAAAAAAGTGTTTAACGTCCTCTACCAATACCTCATGAATAATGGGCTATATTCTATTTTGATCGCGCGAAAAGGGAGGAAAAGACGCTACAAATATTACCCACAAGTCCCAGGGGACCTCTAGGCAGTACCTCTGCTTTGGGAGGGGGCTGGGTTTATTTCAAGGCGCTTGAGGCGTCCCTAAAAGTGGAAGTGCCAGGGGGCTTCGGCAATTTTGCCACGATATTGCCGTTAAACCCATTTTAAATCTCGACCATGAGTCTGTCATATTCGGTAGCGACGTGGGCGTGCTGATAAATAAATACTTGATTCCAGTGAAAGAAAGAAAGAAAAAAAGAAAGAAAGAAAGAAAGAAAGAAGGAAAGAAAGATTTAACGTCTGTTTCAGTGAAATGGAAAAAAATTGTCAATTTCGGATATTTTCATTTCTACGGATATTTTATTGTCGTAGATTTCGCCACGAGTTTATTCATTCATTAACTTAAGAGTTAAGAATTAAGATTCATCAGAAAATTTAAACAGAAAAATTGTTAAATTTCCACTGGTCTTTGTAACATTCTTTGTATATATAACTTAACGATTCTTTTTTATGATTTCTTAATGATCTTTTGTTCCAAGTAACCGCCTACTAAGTAAAGATGAAAGTTTTAAGAGCAAAACTGAGATCTGTTTACGTTATTTGAAACTAAGAGCTTATCGACTGAAAGAGGTTTGTCTTCTCTTTGAAAATGTATCAATATACAATGAACAGTTTTTTCTTTGCTTAACATGAAATGGAATATTTTTTCTTGAAAAGAAATGGTTGCATTTGTACAAGCTTATCGGTTTAACATGAAAAATGAAAGCTTTCGCACTTACCCCATACTCTCTCGTCTGTTTCTTTGCCCTGCTTCACAAAAGCTGTATGTTCAGTGCAATCCGTCATGAACTGTTTTTGAGAGTTGAACGTGGCTTTCAATATGATTCATGTGGGGAATTAAATGTTCTTCTATTAAAAATGAAAATGCATTTTCGTCATTACATACTTTTTATTTCCAGAAAAGAAAAAAAGAAAACGGTGTACAAACAGCAAAACAAGATATGCGTCGTTTATGGTGATGGTGCAATAGCTGGGTGTATTGTTTGTAAGTGGTTTTCAAAGTTCAGAAGTGGAAATTTTGAGCTGAAAGATTGAGAGTATTTCGGTTGGCCTTCAGTCATTGATGATGATCAAATCGAAATGCTAATGAAAAATAATCCAGATTATACGACACGGGACATCGCAGAGATACTCCACACACTTCATGTAAGCGTTGTAACACATTTCGATACGCGATTTGCTTACGTTTGGATTCCTGAATATTTAACGAAAAATAAAGATCGATAAGAGGCGATGAAAAAATGGATTGTCATGGAGTGAAATGATCCGGAGGGAAACAAAATTAGTCGGTCTGAATTCGAACAATGGGATACTGTGTATCTGAGGAGAAGTGTGATTCTACGGACGTATAAAAAGCCGTGAAAATTTTACGGTTTTCTTATTTAAAATTTCTGATGAATCTTAATTCTTAAGTTGATGATTGAATAAGCCCACCACGAGTTCTACGACAATATATAATATCAGTAGAAATTCCCTTATCGTATTGTTAAATATTTGAGCTTAACAGCTTAAAAAATTACAATAACATTTAACAATCATAAATATGAATGCTGGTCGTTAAGACGTGTGTAGAAATGAAAAGATTTGAAATTGGCAACTTTTTCCATTTCATTGAAACAGCCGATAAATACTTCTATATTACTTTTTTTTTTCCTTTCTTTCTTTGATTTTCTCATTGAAATCCAGTATTTATTTTTCAGCGCGCCCACGTCGCTAATCTATTAGGTTGGTACAAAAATAATGTCGTTTTCTCTTTTGAAGTTGAAGGTCAAAAAACGACATTATTTTTGCACCAACCTAATAACTGAAAACAAGTAGCGTCTCTTCACTTCTTTCTGCGCGATTATCACGGAATAGTCCATTATTTATGGGGTATTGGCAGGAGATGTTAAACACTTTTATCTTCCCTTCTTTCTCTCTTTATTTCCCGCCAAATCCTCGTCTTACGAAAATTTCTCTTAATAATAATTTGAAAATGATTCAGCAGATTATTTTATTTAATTTGTACTTTTTTTATGCAATTGCTTACTCGGTTTCCGCCATTCGATATTGTGCATCTGAAAAATATATTCTCAGCTTTTTGATTCGGGGAAGTTCAAAGGTTAAACCCAAGCCCGAGAGGGTCTTCCCCCAGGCAGTCTCCACTTTCCTTTGAGAAGTGTCGAGGGGGCTTGGGAAATTTTTCCATGGTATTGCCGATGAACCCATTTTAAACTGACTTTGTGTCATATTCAGTAGCGACTTTGGCGCACTGAAAAATACTCGCAAATCGGCGGCCATTTGGCTGAGATTCGATCACGGCTACGACTAGCTTGGACCGGCTCGGGTCTGGACCACCTATGACAAGCCAAGACTATGACTAGCTTAGACCAGCTCTGACCAGCTTGGACAAGCTATGACCAGCTAAGACCAGCTATGACTAGCTTAGACCAGCTTGGACAAGCTACAACCAGCTAAGACTAGCTTGAACCAGCGGCCCGAGTGCAAACACTTGGGTCCTCACATTAAACCGACCTTGTGTCACAACCTGACTCAGTGGGGGTGGGGGGGTCAAGTAAATAAACGGCTTTTTGGCTGAGATCAAAGTGTAGTATCTGCCCTCGTGGGCGGGGATAAACTACATTTCATCTCTCAGTTGTACTTCTGTTTTTGGAGAAGGCACAACTGAAAATATTATTAGTCGGGGGTGGGGGCGGTGCTCTGTGTCGAGAAACAGTTGCCTGTTACAGTACTTCCCTCATTCCCCTTAAGAGAAGTGGGATCGGTTGTAATACCAATACCAGCGCAATCGACGGTTACGGTGACTGGGTTATTTTGCACCTGTATTTTTTGTACACGCCCACATTAATCTGACCTTGTGTCACATCCTCAGATGGGGAGGTAATAAAATACAATCGCTTCATGGCTGAAATCAAAGTGTAGTATCTGTTCTTTTCAGTTTAATCTGACTCTCTCTCTCTCTCTCTCTCTCTCTTTCTTTCTCTCTCTCTCTTTCTCCACTTACATCTTTCGTTACTTTCATTTTCTCACTGAAATCAAGTAATGTTTTCCCCTCTTTCTACTTAATCAAAACGCAGAATAGTCCCTTATTTATGAGGCACTGACAGGACATAACGGTCGTGCTAAATAACAAGCACAATTATAATAGGATTGGAAGAACTTCAGTTCTCTGTAAAATCAGTTACACCAGTTCATCATTCAAAAATATGTTACCTTCTTGGAGGATGGAATCGTGAAGGTTTATCAAAGATGGCGAAAGATCAGTCAGTCAGTTATGTGCCATGTGTGATACACGCTTAGGCGATCATGTATCTTTCAATACATGACTAGCGAGGCAGATTTTTTTTTCCTGCAGTAGGTTGTCATTTCTTTCTGCGGTAGATCAGTTGCCATCCAAGGCTATTGAACCCGATCTATCCTGCTATTTACCCATAGCTGGGACGAGAAGAAGAGGATTCATACCTTTCCCAAGGGTATTGGCACGTAAGTGAATGTAATGGATCTGACTGGAATTCGAACTCGGCTCTCCGATTCCTCAATCCGAGCCGTTATCCATTACTCCACCGTGGTGAAAGATAGTGTAACGAAATGGCGCATATGTGATACAAATATCAAAATACTGATTTTGAAATTCATATCATGTGACAATCCTTTCCAAACCCAATAATTTATAGGATATTTTGTTAAACCTTATATAAGTTTCTCTGGTCCATAACTTTTGGAGTCTTTTTTTTTCTTTTTACATTATTTTTACTCGGCGTATTATCATCCTCTATCTATTATCACAACGTTTCGACTATTGTGCCATTCGGCCTTCATCAGGTGTTTGTCGATCCGAATGAACCGATTCACTATCCATGTCTAGATATATCTCGTCTTATTCTTATTTAGTGCTGCTCAGTTATTGCTCGCTCTGTTTCCACTGAGTGCGCTACCCGACCCAGGGATTGAACTCAATTACAATGTCACCAAATTAACAAATCAAAGCTTTAACCCATTAAGCTATTATCCCGTGGGACAATCCTGAGTAAAGAATTTGGAGTTTTACGAGGATGCATTTCTATAATAAGGGATTCCATCCACTGAGTTCTACTTGTTATTACAAAAAAGTTTTCATTCATGAAGTAGTTGTAAAATAGAGAAATTAGAAATAAAATGTTTGGAAGATTCTAGATCATTCTAGTATATTCGAGAAAAATCTAGATGATTCGAAAAACATCTAGAAATATGCAAATTAGGTGTTAGCCCTACAAAAAAGAGATTTTGGAAAAGGGTTGTCAGTTGATGAAGGGAAATTTCTGCTGTTATCAACTCCGGCTTTTGATTCAAGGATTATTATATCCAGCTGAAAGAATCTCTATAAAAAGTTGCCGACCAACCAAAACCCAAAAGAGAATTTCATGGAACGAATTTGGTAAATAGAATTTTGACTAATTTTCATTGACCAAACTAAAAATTAATATTTATTTACACACCTTTGTGGATTTCCAAATATAGCACTTAGATTACTTCACTAGCCCTAAAGTGATAAAGATATTTGACCCCCTTTCCTTCTCCCTTGTAACACTTCGCCAGTAATTCTGTTTTTTCGGTTTTGTAGGCCACAATTGTTTTTCCTGTATATATTTTATGTTCTGTTTTAGTAAATTAAATATTTGTTTGTGATTTTAGCT